CATTGCTAAAACTGCCCGGTCCTGCAGATTTGCTTTATTCAACATCAAGAAGATTAGGCCCTTTCTTTCGGAACATGCTTCACAACTCCTTGTTCAAGCTCTTGTTCTGTCCAGGCTGGATTATTGCAATGCTCTCTTGGAAGGTCTTCCAGCCAGTTCTATAAAAACTTTTCAATTCATTTTATTTAACATTTTATTTTATTTACAATTATTACATTTTTAACGAGCCGAAAAGAATGCACGCCACACCTCTGCTTATCAATTTGCACTGGCTACCAATAGCTGCTCGCATAAAATTAAATAATGTTTGCCTACAAAACAACCATGGGTTTTACAGTGCACTGGCTCTGCACCCCTTTACCTAAATTCATTACTTCAGACTTATGTGCCCTCTAGAAGCTTGCGTTCTGCAAGTGAATGTCACTTTATTGTGCCATCCCAAAGAGGCACAAAATCATGTTTTCTCTTTATTTAATATACAATTAACAAAAAGCAAAAAAAAGGGGCCTCTAACATTTGCTTGCTCTATTCTTTTTCTATTCTATGTTCTTATTCTATGTCTTTTTTATATGATTTAAAAAAAAACTTGCTACGTGTACTGCATTAAGCTAACTGAGAGCACTTGCATATCATTGCTTTTTTGTTGATTTTGATTGCTTCCATTGTCCTCATTTGTAAGTCGCTTTGGATAAAAGCGTCTGCTAAATGTCTAAATGTAAATGTAAATGTAAAACAAATAGATTAGTGGCTGAAGGAAATTTTCAGACATAAAAACTTACTTTTATTTAGGAAGTACTGTCACACTTTATTTTAAGGTCCAATTCTTGCTATTTACAAACCATTAACTACGAAATTTGCTGCTTATTAATAGTTAATAAGGTAGTTAAGTTTAGGTATTGGATAGAATTAGGGATGTAATATGGTAATGCAGAATATGTGCTCTCTAAGTACTAATAAAAAGCCAATATGTTAATAATAGGCAGGCTAATAAGCAACTAGTTAACTTAACTAAAGACAGGACAAACTAACAAAAACATAAAAACAACTGCGGAGCATGCCACGGAGGCAGCCATCAGCATCGGCGCCATCGCGAAGTATGAGAATTGATCCCTATACGAAAGTGTTACCCAAAATATTTCCGGTATTACATTTGGATGTATATTTAGACCATATCATTTATTTATTTATTTTTGTGAAAATTTAGATTTCTTTTTAATTGTAACAGAGTCTGGTAACTAACTGGTAAGCAGTCTCCATCTGAGACTTTGATCTCAGTCTGTCTCTCTCTTTGTCTGTCTGTTTTACGCTCTTGAAGTTTTGTGGCTGAATTATTTATTTTATTTAAAAAATTATATTTGTTACAGTCACAGTAGTTAATATGCATGTAATTAAAAGGCTGTGTATTTTCGTATGTTTTGTATTTCTCATTAGTTTGATATGGAGGTCATTTTAGAGAATAGAAGTATGACTATTAAGAATAGAAGTATTATTATTTTTTAGGACAGTTTATTCTTTTCCGGTCATATTTTTTGTGTTCATATTGCAAGTATGACAATTGGCACCAAGTTTCATACCATTTTCGGACGCCAGCATCTGAAGACTAGAAAGGGTTAAATGCATGTGTCCACCGTGCATTGTTTTCCTGAAGCTGCTTGCAGCTATATTTCTATTTTAGATTTATATTGTTTTGTTTATATCATACTGTCATACTATTTAACCATTTTAAATGCAATTTCAGTGAATAATAGCATTTTATTTTGTTTCCTTTAGCTGAACCTCTGGTGCAGATGGATGGGAAACCCAGCTGTTGTTTCTTCAAGTTCAGTCCAAAACTGATGTTTACCAAGGTCCTGAAAGCCCAGCTGTGGGTTTATCTTCGGCCACTACAGCAAACTTCCACTGTTTACCTGCAGATCCTTCGCCTTAAACCTATCACTGAGCAGGGAAGCCGACACATCCGCATCCGGTCGCTCAAAATCGAGCTCAGTTCACAAGATGGTCATTGGCAGAGCATTGATTTCAAGCATGTGTTGCAGAACTGGTTCAAGCAGCCACACACAAACTGGGGCATTGATATAAATGCCTATGATGAGAGTGGCAATGACCTGGCTGTGACGTCTCTGCGGCCTGGAGAGGAAGGACTGGTAAGGACCCTTAGACCTGCTAGACCAAAAATACTGCTATAGTGGAAACAATAATCATCGTACTGAGCCAAATGTTAATTTTTTTTTAGCTTTATGTCACTTGAGAAGCATTTGAGACTACAATTTATACAAGGTGCTTGACCCATCTCTGTATGTCTACTTCCTCCCGTAATCTCCAGCAGCCGTTCCTGGAGGTCAAGGTTCTTGAAACAACCAAGCGCTCACGGAGAAATCTGGGTCTTGACTGTGATGAGCACTCCACAGAATCCCGCTGTTGTCGCTACCCGCTCACAGTGGACTTTGAAGCTTTTGGCTGGGACTGGATCATTGCACCCAAACGTTACAAGGCAAACTACTGTTCAGGCCAGTGTGAGTACATGTTCATGCAGAAGTACCCACATACTCATCTGGTTCAGCATGCCAATCCTAGAGGCTCGGCAGGGCCATGCTGTACGCCCACGAAGATGTCGCCAATAAACATGCTGTACTTCAATGATAAACAGCAGATAATCCATGGCAAAATTCCAGGAATGGTGGTGGACCGTTGTGGCTGTTCATAGAATTATGTGTTTTGGTTGAGCTAAGGGAAAGTGATGGAGGGAGGGTGTTAGGGATGAATTCTAGCACCTACAAGTCTCTGCAATTTCCTTTTATTTTCCTTACATTCCTTGGAAAGAATACTACATAATGTACAGAGAACAAAAAGACATTTGTAGTTTATTTCATAACTCCAGTAGAACACTCTTAGGTCAAGGATCCTAATAAATCCTAATTTCTCACTTTATTATTTGAATGTGAATTTTAGTTCTACCATCATTTTGTGTGTGTGTGTATATATATATATATATATAAACATACATACAGCAGGTAAAATAAGTATTGAACACATCATGATTTATTCTCAGTAAATATATTTCTAAAAGTGCTGTTGACATGACATTTTCACCAGATGTCAGTAACAATCCAAGTAATCCATACATACAAAGAAAGCAAAACAAATAAGTTCAGAAATTAAGCTCTGTGTAATAAAGTAAAAAGTATTGAAAACATGAAGAAAGGGAGGTGCAAAAAGGCATGGAAAGCCAAGACACCAGCTGAAATCTATCAGTAATTAGAAAGCAATTCGGCCCCTTGTCAGTGGAAATTAATATTAGGTGGTTTAGTCCCAACTGATGGCCTATAAAAAGGTGTCTCATGACCAACGTGTCACACAAGAAACATTTCATGATGGGTAAAAGCAAAGAGCTTTCTCAAGACCTCCGCAACCTTATTGTTGCAAAACATACTGATGGCATTGGTTGCAGAAGGATTTCTATACTTCTGAATGTTCCAGTGAGCATTGTTAGCACATAATCCGGAAGTGGAAAGAACATAATTTCACCATAAACCGGCCACGAACAGGTGCTCCTCGCAAGATTTCTCACAGAGAAGTGAAAAGAATTATCAGAGGAGTTGTCCAAGAGCCAAGCATCACTTGTGAAGAGCTTCAGAAAGACCTGGAATTAGCATGTACAATTGTTTCAAAGAAAATAATAAGTACAATAAGTAAGGAATGCACTCAACTGCCGTGGCCTGTATGCACGCTCACCACGCAAGGCTCTATTGCTGAAGAAAAAGCATGTTGAAGCTCGTTTAAAGTTTGCTGCACAACATTTAGACAAGCCTGTGAAATACTGGGAGAATATAGTCTGGTCAGATGATACAAAAATTGTACTCTTTGGATACCATAATACACACCATGTTTGGAGGTTAAATGGCACTGCACATCACCCCAAAACATCATGGTGTAGCACTGGCAAAATTTATATAATTGAAGGAGGGATGAATGGAAAAATGTACCGAGACATTCTTGATAAAAATCTACCAGGATGATGAAGATGAAATGATGGTGGACATTCCAGCGAGACAATGATCCCAAACACACAGCCAAGGAAA